TAGTCGTTTGTTACAGAGCGACTGTTGAAATTAAGTGTATCGTAAAGTTGTATTCGGAAAGAATAACCCAGTTTTATTTAAGAAAGGAATTGTGTCGCTAAAGTTTCGTCGGAACGAATTTACGAAAAATTAACTAACGAACGGAGACGTAACAATACGTTTTTGTGACTCAGACAGTATGTGATCAGATGTTTACTGGGGTAACAACTATCATATTTGACCCACTCAAGTATTTTTCATAGTTTTTTTATTTGACTAACCCCTACTTTTGTAGTTTTTCTGGTGATGCTGGAAGAGAACAAAATATGACATACTTTTCTTTGGTATTGTACCTATTTAACTATTTTTTGATAGTGAATACAACAGACTACAAGTTATATAAATTACAGATTATTGTATCATCTTAGTTGTCTTGGTATGGCCTGGTGGTTAGGGCAGTCTACTCAAAATTTACAGGTTGTGGGAACATGCTTGCCCTTTCTGCTGTAGGGACACGATATTGTGATATTGTCTATCCCACTATTTTTTGGTAAAGAGTAGCCAAAGAGTTGGTTAGCTGCTTTCCCTCTAACCTATCTGGTTAGGGTGCTCGACTCGCAATCTGAGGGTCGCGGGTTCGAATCCCCATCACACCAAACATGCTTGCCCTTTCAGCCGTGGGGGCATTATAATGTGACGGTCAATCCCACTATTCATTGATAAAAGAGTAGCCCAAGAATTGGTGCTGGGTGGTGATGACTAGCTGCCTTCCCTCTAGGCTTACACTGCTAAATTACGGATGTCTAGCGCAGATAGCCCTCGTGTAGCTTTGTGCAAAATTCAAAACAAACAAATAAACTCTAATCTATCACTTCAGAATTAGGACAGTCTTTGAGTAGCTTTGAACGAAATTCAATAAATTAACAAAGAAACAGATTTAAGTATTATCTTTCACAAACAAACAGATAATCTTATTTAAGTATTATCTTTCACAAACAAACAGGTGATCTTCTTTAAGTATTATCCTTCACAAACAAACAGGTGATCTTCTTTAAGTATTATCTTTAACAAACAAACAGATGATCTTATTTAAGTATTATCTTTCACAAACAAATGATCTTCTTTAAGTATTATCTTTAACAAATAAACAGATGATCTTCTTTAAGTATTATCTTTCACAAACAAACAGGTGATCTTATTTAAGTATTATCTTCTTTATTTTGTGAGAAATTATGTTATCATTATTTCTTCCTTTAGGTGTACGTGCCTTATTCAATATAATCAAAATATTACCCACTTATTACATTATACATACATACCTTCTATTAAATACAACTTACAAGTTTCCTGCTTACACTACTGTGTATAATGTAAATTAACAGTCATGTGCTTTGTGTAAGGTATTTACTGCTGATTGGTTTATAATACAGTGTTATGTTAATGACTGTAAGCATGTGATATCAACATATGCTGAACTGAAGCAGTGACGAGCAGAACTTACATTACTGAAAAGCCACTGGTTGTACATATCCCACATATCCGAGTCAAGAAACATATGAAACTTTGATTGATGGACTAAAGTAACTATAAAATTGTGTTGCAGTAATATTACACACGCTAAATTGAACTTACATCAATCACAAAAAAAAAGCATTACAGCCAAATTAACTTAAGCTAAAACACTTTTTATGATCGACAATAAGTATACTGTGGCATAAGTATATATTTTACTAAAAATTAATCTTGAACTTGCAAAAACCATTTAACAAAAATAACCTTCCTATAGCAACATAATATATATAATGTATAATCTGAATTAAAAACTAAACAAAAAGTTATTCTTGATGAAACAAATATTTTAATTCTGTCATTAATTGGATAATTGAAGTTTCAAACTAAAATCCAGATAGTAAATCAATACATATATACGTAACTATCCTAATACTACCATATAAGATGGAAAAGATTTCACAGAAGAATCTTTAAGAAAACAGTATTAATCTGCCAAAAGAAACACAGACTTGTTCTTTCCCCATATCCATTTAGTATTTCTCTTAATTCAAAGCCTATGATGTTCATGATCACATATTTCTTTCTACTGTTGTACTACAAATCGCTAAACTTACATTTTTCTTCCGTTTGAACCGATGACATCAAAAGATGTCTGACGTTCTAGCTTTCGTCTGCGAGGCCCACCCTCTCGTGGACATGTATTACAATGGTCAGATCCTACAGGTGAGGATACTAACTGGTATAAGCTAGAATAATGAGGATTTGTGTGTGAAGCAGATGATTTGAAAGGGGCATGACGATCTCTTGGAGGGCTTGACTCACAGCTGTCTCCTTCAGATGAAGAAGAAGGTGGATAGCAGTGGTGTCCAGACATGGTGATTACAGAAGCAGACTCAGCCAGATCTGTTTAGTCAAGAAAAATAGACTTAGGAATGAGTGATATGGGAAGATATTAAAACAGTATTAATTGGCTATTCAGCTGAATTTATTTTAAGTATATATGTATACATACTTAGCTTGAGAGAAACTTCAAATGTGCATTATTTAATTTAGTTTATTGGACTAAGTGAAAGAACACTAACTTAAACAAGTATCAACACTGACAAGAATTACCAGCATGCACTAACAACTATAACTGTACAAGAAAGTTACACTATAAAACAAAAACAGTGTACTGAGAAAAGTCCTATGTCTAAATAAAACCCACAGGTGTATATTATGTTATTATAAAACAGAAATCTCTTTAATTTAACATACCTAAGTATGGTTCACCAACAACAGATAAGTCATCAACACTGTGACTGCTGCTGAGAGAGCTGCTTACAGATGCCCTATCCCTGATGGGCTTACTGGGTTTGGCACTGTCAAATGGCAGACTGTCACTTTCAGAGAAGCGATACATAGGATTGTTAAAAGCTAAAGGTGGTGCCACCTGCTGGCAACCATGTGACTCCAAGTGAAGCTGGTCAACAGGGGAGCTGGACTGGCTAAATGCTATGGACTGGTAGCCAGAGGATGCTACAGTAGATAGCTATTAGATAAGGCATCAAATGTTAGAGAAAAATTCTAAATTGATTGACTAAAATATTTTTACTATTTGTGACTGTTCTTATTCTCACCAACATAAACAAAACTGATAAATGAAGTAAGATAATACTGACAATTGTATAGTAAAAAAAAATAGTCAAGCCAATTACTCGATTTTCAAAATGTTAACTAACTTAAAAATCTTGATATTTATTTCTACTGCTACACGCCCCCCAGTGGCACAGCGGGATATGTCTGCGGACTTACAACACTAAAAACCGGGTTTCGATACCCGTGGTGGGCAGAGCACAGATAGCCCATTGTGTAGCTTTGTGCTTAACTTCAAACAAATTACTGCTACACCAAAGTCATTTACAAACCCAATGCAATAATATATCTCACAACTATATCTTAAGCAAATTTATTCAGAACAGCTATGCTTACATGATTCCTAGTGGCACTTATCAAGCTTCCTTTCTCAGTAGGGTTAGTGGCTTACTAATGTTTCAAATGATAAATTACATATACCTCAAATACTCAATCAAAATTGTAGTAAGTTTATTAAGGCCACATTAAAAAATATGTTTATTTGCTAACATCTATTCTCTATGCTAAGTATGTATGCATGTGTGTGTGTGTTTATCTCACTAACGCATCTTATTGTAATGCAGTGCTTGTCTTTTTATTTTCACCAGTCAATAACGTTGTTGGTTGGTTGTTGTTAATCACAAAGCTACACAATGGGCTATCTGTGTTGTGCTTACCATGGGTATTGAAACCTGGTTTTTAACATAATAAGACTTCAGTTTTATCACTGAGCTACTGGGGGGCAGCCAATAAAGTAAAGAACTTTCTATTTTAAACAACAAACAGTCAGTTATTACATATAAATGTAAGGCGATAATAATTGGTCAGAATTTTAATTTGTTAGTCATTTGTTCCTTCTGCATGCACAGCATCTGAATCAGGATCTTCAATCTGAAACTCTTAATTACTCTTACATCCAATATTTTTCCTAACTTTTTTTTTGCAGGATGTGGGAAAAAACTTAATAGCCTATGTTTTACCTTTTTATAAATAAAGACAAACACTCCTGAAATATTCTAAAATTAAACTTTAAAAGGTTTATTAACTTCCTATCTTTTAGACTGGTGAAAAGCCCTTTGTCAGGGGCAGTGCCAGATTAAGCATCTGTGGGGTCCGTTGCATTTTCTGAAGATGAGGCCCCTTTCTGTCAGAAAATACGTGTTTTACTGTCATTTAATTTTTAAAATTTTATTATGAGTGATACAGTTTTATTCAATTTTCACAAACTGTAGTAGTTGTAAATGAGGAACATGTATTTATATCAAAATATTTGTTTTATTCATGATAAATGAGCTATCTAATAAGCATCAGTAATTAATCTTTCTCTTGAATGAACAAGCTGACAAACACTCAGCTTTCGAAATTGCATGTTTTCAACACTTTTGGCGACAAAGACAATGATTAGAGTAGAACTGTTAACTTCAAGAAGTAAACTGTGAAGGAAAAATTTTTTATGGGTTCAGGGCCTGTAGCATTTGCTATTTATGCTAATAGGCTAATCTGGCAGTGGTCAGGGTTAAAATATACATAAATGAAACACCCTTTCAGAACAATCTTTCATACTTTCTAGCCCCTGACAAAGGGCTGTTAACCAATATGAAAGAGAAGAAGTAAATAAATATTTTTGTTTCTTAAATAAAATAAAGATTTTTGTATAAAAGTTGAAATTACATATATATACAAAAAACAATATGTAAAAGAATGCTAAATTCAGAGAAATAAATTAAAAGTATAATGTACAAGTTTCAAAACTGTAAAAGAACATTCATTAAATGATGCCCATCAAATCTCAAGGTTCACAAAACAACTTTATATAAGATCATATGCAGATCAATTAACACACAATGTTATATTGATATACTATTCCCCCCCAGTAACTCAGTGGTAAGCCTAAGGTCTTATAACCCTAAAAACCAGCATTTTGATATCTATGGTGGGCATATGGGGGTATTAAGCATAAAACTGCATATAAAAACAATGTAAACATAAATTAACACTGTATAGATTTCAAATACAAAATTAACAAAATTTAACTTCAGAAGCAAACAAAATAATCTTAATCCTTTTAAACAATGGATGGGTTATTATGGCTAAAGTGTGACGTTCTGTAAATTCTTTTAACCAATAGCATAATGTCTTCCTTTCTTCCAAAAATTCTACATCTAACAAGTCTTTCTAAAAGAATGTGTTGTGCAGTTTTGCAAAATATCTTTAAAATTTTCTGAAAGTTTGAATCCCCCAATTTGTTGTCATATTAACTAATAATAATAATAATAACCATCTTTTTTTACTTATATAGATTATGCTCGTGTCTATACTAAAATATAAGTTTATAAAGCAGTATAAGAAAGCTTTCCCGACCTGACTAATGGATATCTGACTTCCTTGAATATTGTGGTAATCCAGTTCACCTGAAGAGATGGAAGGATTATTATTATCAATGGCCATAACATCTGAATAATCCTTCCCACTGGGTCGGCTAGATTTCTCCGCTGTTTTTATCTCTAGCAAATCGTAGGTTGGATTTCGGACTTGTTGAATCACAGAATAAGAAGAATTGTTTTTTAAGTATTGATTTCGTTTATTTGCACACACAGAATGTCCTGGGTAGGTTCCATTGATAGGAGTTTCATTATACGCAGATTGTGCGAGTCTAGCAGGGAGATTACCGTTCGGTGTACAGTAAATGCTGGAATGTGTTCTTCTACTGGCCTGAGTTAATTTCTCTTTACTGAATGGTATGTTGATTTGGTCGCTTTCTACTGCAGTGGTTAAAACATAATCTCCGGATGTGGATAAATCTTGTGCTGCCTTCTTGGTGGATCCTGATATAAAGTTGCTCCTGCAAACATTGAAAATAAATGAATGAATCAACATAATTGTGCCTCACAGTGGCTCAGTGATAAGTCTCAAAGCATCTAATGCTAAAACCAGGTTTCAATACCCATGGTGGGCATAGCACATATAACCCATTGCATAGCTTTGTGCCTAACAACACAACCAAAGCCAAACTGACATAATAGTATTACACAGGTTGCCCCCCCCCAAAAAAAAATTACCCATCCTTTAAGTTATACAACTTCTGTATATTGATTCTAAAAGTTTTATTTTTATATCAGATAATGTTGCAGAATGTATGATGAATTCAATCAATAGATCACAAAGGCCTTTTCATCAAATCAGAGTTAAAAATTGTGTAACAGCATGTTAAGCACTTCTTGTAGATGTCATGATTGTTTGAATGCTTGTGTAGCCCAGTTTGAGCATCTCAAATGATGCAGCAGTGTAAATACAGTTAATTTCTTGTATGAAATATTAATAAAGATGTCTTGCTGGCTTGTAGGTTAACTTGAGCCAGTAGGTAAATTTATTATAATCATATGGGCATTCGAAATGTGGGTACATTTTTTTGAGCCACCCTGTTGTTCTCTATGTATCTGTGAAAAGATTTTTTAAAGCAATTTTTTTTAAGTTATGCTGTATCTTTTTGTATTATATCAAAAAATTGACTGTTACTCCTGCGACATTAAATAATAGGACTATACTTTGCTCATATACTTTAATAGTAGTTTGGTTGGGTTGTTTTATTTTGAGACTGTATCTTTATGATGTATTGTTTGTTCGTTTATTTTACAGCAAAGCCATAATGAGCTATCTGCTGTGTCCACTGCAGGGAATCATACTCCAGATTTTAGCGTTATAAGTCTGTAAACTTACTGCTGTTTCTCTGGAGGACTTTATAATGTAATTGGATTTATTTGACCTTTACAGATAATGCACAGGCATGAGAAATAAAATACGATTGTCTAACAAGGAAATAAAACAGTTCAAGTATTCTACACCATAGTTCTTAAACACTATACAATGAGCCCAAAAACAATCATTATTCCAAACCAAGCTACCTCTCATTCTGGTCATATAAACACGAACAGACAGAGCTAAGCCTATCAAAAAAGTTTGATGGCAGCAAAACTTTAAATTTCAACAATACACCAGTTAGAACTGCATTCTAGCAATATGACATGTTATATACACTGTTAATATATCACTGTTTATTGTGTTATAATGTGTAATTTTGCCACATTAAATATGTTCATAGGAACATCTAGGCATTCATGTTAATAGAGATAAAAATTAACAGGAAAGAAATAAAAAATTTGCTAAAAACAAACAAGACCACATAAATACAAATTTAGCATTACAAAGATGAAAGTAAAATAATCACCTAGGTAGAGTAGATGGCCTGTGTGGAATTTTTGGAGAAGAAAGTGCTGTGCTAGACAGTTGATGTGTTGTTGTTAAAACGGAGTTGTTCTTTGGTATTTGGTTTTGTGGTTCTCCATTCTCCATACTGTCAGAATCATTTACTTTTGCAATCTGTAGACTTTGGTATTTTGGTTTTTCAGTGTCCTGAAGAGCTGTTCCCAGCTGTTCTTTGGTCTTGTCGTGAGGGGCACTCATCTGTCGGAAACAGGAAGGCTGGATGGCTGCAACAGAAGTCCCTTCTAAGATCTGTTCTAGAACTTCAACTTGTTCATAATGACACTAAACAAGAGAGAAAACAAAAGCTTTATTCACATGTCTAACAGTAATGGCATCTCATGTTTAATGACATTTCAGATGCTGGTAATGCAAGGAAGCTTACTTTACTAATTAAAGCAAATTTTCAACCTTCTAAACAGCAGCACATGACAAAACATGAGGACAACAAGGACCACTTAACCCTTTAAGGTTGTACTTGCACATCTGCACTTGAGAATAAAATAAAAACTTAAATCCACCATATATTTTTTAAGAAATTATCAGTTCCCACATCCAAACTCTTGTAAAATTCTGGCCTCAACTACTGTTAACTGAAACTCTTTCTGTAATCCAATCACCCAGTTTGAAAAATAAAACTGTCTTAACTGAAACCTAGCCAGTTTTTCCAAGTCTTAATATATATCCTTTTATTCCAGAATATATAAATATTAGACCTTTATCCTATCAATCCCCCAGATAATCTTATAAACTTCAATAAGATCACCTCTTACCCTTCTTTTCTCAAGGGAAAATAATTTAAGAAATCTTAACCTGCCCCTATAAGATTAATCCTTCCAACTCCAGAATCTTCTTAGTAGTATTCCTTTGAACCTCTTTCAATAAGTCACTATCTTTTCTTTTCTTACATAAGGAAACCAAAACTGTACACAGTATTTCAAGTGAGGCCTAATTAATAATATATATATATATATATAGAGAGAGAGAGAGATAATTAACTTGTAATCAATGTGTCTATAAATACACCCTAAAATTATACTGGCTTTGCTTCTAGCAATAAAGCACTGCCTCAATGGCTTGAGTGACTTATCTACCACACTGCCAATATTTTTTTTCTTTTGTCGCACTGTTGTGTGGGTTTACATCTATACTAAGCATGTGACACAAATTATTATAACTTTAGTACATTATCTTGCACTTACTATAATTGTCCAGTTGACAAATTGATACAAGTCATTCTGTAATACCTAATATCTTAAGTACCCAAGAGGTTAATGTCACCCATAAACTTTACTAATTCAATAATAATGACCCTATAAATAACATTAATGTAAATAAGAAAAGACTAAGCACTGACCTCTGAGGAACATCAGTAATAACAAGGGTCCAGTTTTAATGGACTTTATTAATAACAAACTTTTACTTTCTCTC